GGCTCTCTTGGGCGCGCCGCCTCGGTGGAGTGCGGACGCGCCTGGATCGTGTGAGGGACTCTGCCCTTGGTGTACCACCGGCTGCACCCAAGTCCACCGACTGTGACCTCCCTCGGCGTCGGGGCTCCGCTTCTTGGGCTGCTGCCTTGGGCTGGCCGCTGCTGTCGAAGGGGCCGCTGGTGCCGAGGAAGCGGCCGCAGCACCCTCGCCAGCTTCTGGTGCGCGAGCCGCTTCCTCGGCACCCTGTCTGGCGCGTCCGATGGCAGCAGCCACCTCGCGATAAAAGCCACCAATACGATCCCAGATCTCGTGCTCGATGGGTCGATCCTCCAAGGTGACAAACTCGCAAACCAAATCGACCTGCTCTTGGGACAAATGGTCGTAACTGGTCGTACGTGCGTTTGGACAGCCACACTCCGCAGATATCGTGCACCACTTCCTGCACGATATCTTGCGCTTCGTAGAACGTTCTCCGCCGCGCTTTGTATCCAGCTCGCGTCCCCCGGTGCGGATTTTGCTGAACGCCTTTGGGACGCGGTGCGCCCGTGGCTGCACCCTCGCGCTGGGTATAGCTCGCGGCCCTTGAACCCTGGCTAGCGCAGCCGGGTTTAATTAAGTTAGGGCCAAGCGGAAAAGGGGAAAAAAACTACGGCTGATAACACTGAAACCGAGCATTTTGCCGAAGCGACATGTCATGAGTTTTGCTGGCAGAAGCCGGAGACGGTCCTGCAGGAGACAAAAGGCCGGCTTGTGCGTAGGCCGGGGTTCAGTTGTTTTATTTGCCCGTGCCATATTCCGCTGGTAGCGGAGCGTGGTTCGATCCGGGGCGCTGTGGTCTTTGGGGAGCTCCAGGGTGCGATCCGGGAGTTTGTGATTTTGGTGTTTTTTGGAGTTCCGGTGCGACGGGGCTTGAGCCAGGGTGTGTGGCCTGCGGGACAAGGAGATGCGGTCCTACTACGAGTCGTTTGGGGCAGCGCTGGGCGGTGCGCCGTTCTCCCGAGAATGCCGGCACGGGCGGCATCTCGAGCGACTCGAAGGACCGCGAGGAGTCCTGGGCTTGGGGCGCAACAAGGGCCCCGATGAGGCAGCCGGCGTGGGACGGCTCCTGGCAGGGGAGCCGTGATCTGTGGTTGGAGGAGGACTTGCAGAGCAATGAAAATTGGTCTAGGAAGCCAGGCCGGGACCTAGACCAGCAGAGCACCGAGAACTGGAGCTGGGCGAACGACGCGGCCGAGGACGATGGAGAATTGGAGCTGGAAGACGGGATACACCGGCAAAGAGGCCAGCTGGACGCAGCAGAGGCCTTGGCAAAAGGCGGTGGCTGGCCGGGGCGAGCGTTCGGCCTACAATGCCGGGGAGTCTGAGTATGACGAGCCCTACTACCCGGACCAGCCCGAGGAGGATAAGGTTCGCGACCGGAAGGGTGAGGTTGAGGTGGTCGGTGAGGATACGATCGTCGAGAAGGAGAAGAAGACGGGCGGCCGGGTGTCGAGCACCTACCCGCCCACCTTCCGGGCGAAGCCTCAGGAGAGCTATGCTGAGTGGAAGAGGGCCGTGGAGTTCTGGATTGGAGGAGAGGGCAGCCAGCTTCCTCCGGAGCTCGTTGGGCCGAGGATGATGGTTCAACTTCGGGACCGGGCGGCCCAGCTTGTGAAAAGGCTGTCCAATGCAGACGTGAACGGCCCGGACGGCAAGGAGGTGATTTTTCGCGAGCTGGAGAAAAGCCCTCTTATCAAGCAGGTGGACAAGCACAAGGTAGATGAACACCGGCGCCGCTTGATGCAGCTCAACTGAGCACCCCACGAGTCCGTCGAGAGCTACATCACGCGGGCCTCTTTGTATAGGGGGCAGCTCCTGGGGCTGGACAGTTCCTTGGCGATGGGAGAAGCGTTTTATGTTGGGCACCTGCTGGACCATGCCCACCTGAGCCGCAGGGACCGAGCTATGATCAAGACCAAGGCGGGCACGGATACTGACGAGAACCTGGTTACTTGCGCCATGGTGGAGCTGGCCTGCGAAGGTGAGCCTGGGCACCCGCTGGGCATGTCCGAGCCCACTCCAAACGGCGAGGAGTGGCTTCTGCAACGAGGCGAGCATCGCAACCGTTTCCAAGGACAAGGGCCTGGCCGGAATGTGAGTGGGGCCCCTGGGAGCCGAGCTGCACGACAGTCGTTTGCCGCGGACTGGGAGGAGGCCTCGGAAAATCCCGTTTTCGAGGAGGGCGAGGACTCCTTGGACGAAGGGGACATGCCGCCCGAGCTGTTGATGAGGGAGAATGAGGCCTTCCGCATGCAGTACAAGGCCAAGCAGAAGATCGAAGAAGTGAAGAAGCTGAGACAGTACTACCGCAAGCCGGACAACGATGCGAAGCGCAAGGCTTTGGCGGAGCAGATGAAGGTGAATCCCTGTCACAATTGCGGGGAACTGGGCCACTGGAGTAGAGAATGCCCTCTACCTCCCAAGGCAAGTGCAACCCATGCGGGGCCGAAGGCTCAGCAGGCTTTTGTGCCAGGGCTCGGGCAATGAAGCCAGTTCTGGAGGAGCTGGCGGATCGTGAATGGGATCTGCTGTTGTCTATGTGCAGCCGTGGGCCACAGAGCTCATCCGACGTGAGCGTGGGCCCCCGTCCGGCGTACAAGGGCCATCAGCACCACGATGTTCATCATGTTGTGCACCATGTCGGCCTGAGCATGAATGAGGTCGAAGGTTATGAGGTGATGTGGTCAGTGCAAGAGCTTGCCTTCAAGATTATATTGGATATCGGGTGTATGCGGTCGGTGGCTGGGGTGCATTGGGCAAACCTGTTGGTTTCTCGTTGGAAGGAGGAAGGGAGATGGCTTCATGTCGAGCCCGAGCGGGAAACCTTCAAGTTTGGGGGCGGGGAGGTGCTGGTGAGTCGCTTTCGAGTTTCGTTCGTGGGGAGCTTTGCGGGACGTCCGGTCCTCTACGGCTTTAGCATCGTCGAAGGCAACTGTCCGCCCCTTTTCTCGAGGTCGGGATGTACACAACTGGGGGCCAGCATAGATTGTGAGAAGCATGCAGTCTCGTCACGCAAGTTGGGGGTGAAGAATTTTGGGGTGGGCCAGGACAGTGGACACTACACGTTGTCTCTTGATGAGTGTGAACCGCATTGTGTGGAGCTACCAGCCGATTTCCGCATGGATGCCGGAGTGGATGCCATGCTTGTGACCCCGGCAGCCTTGCGGGATCCAGAGGGTAGCTACAGTTCCAGCCCGAGCGGTGTCCATGAGCGCGCCGGCGACTCCTCGGGGACTGCCCCACGATCGGGAGGTGGAGTCCAACGACGAGGACCAGGTCAAGGAGATGGAGCACGACGGGGAGACTCGCCCACGGAGAGCGGCCCCCCGAGGCCCGAGCCGAAGTTGGCGGTGAAGGGCCGCCGGGCGACACCCACGATGGGGTCTTCGGAGGGGTACATCTTGGTGGAGGAGACGACGCAGGGCCTAACCCAGGACGAGATCACCATGCTCAACAAGCGGCGGGCCAAGCAGGCGGCCTCGAAGGCCCAGGCTATTCAGAAGAAGGCCTTGACGGGGGTGCACGCCGACTACCCGTCGCTGTCCCATGCCTGGAGCAACGAGGTTGCCCTGAACCTGGTAACCTCTACCGCGAGCAGAATGAGGACGTACCTGTGGATTCGGATCAAGAACGCGGTGCAGGCCGACGGGGACCGCCGCTGGAAACGGAACCCGCGCTGGCTGTCAATGTTGCTTGGGAAGGAGGTGGCGTACCTGTTCGGCCACTTCGGGTCGATGCGTCAGAAAATGCAGGCCCCCGAGACGTGGAGCTTGATGTGAAGGCCGTGGCCAGCCGGCCGAGGCCCAATCGGGGCTTGCACCAAAGGCTCAAGGCTGGCGTCCGACAGGCGAAGGAGGCATTGGCGGTGGTGGAGCGCATTGTTCGGGGCCCCGGCAAGAAGTTGTGCTTGGAGATTTTTGCGGGGCGTGCGGGCTTGAGTGCACGAGCCCGACAGGCTGATGGTTGGATGGCGGCCGCCCCGGTGGACCTGGCGACTGGTTGGGATGTCACGAAAACGGCCAGCCAGCGGCAACTTTTGGAGTTGATCGAGAAGTGCCAGCCCGACCTTGTCCTTTGGAGCCGCCGTGTGGGCCGTGGTGCGGCGGCGATGTGGAGCAGCTGGCCGAGGACCGCCTGTGGGAGAGGCGGCGAGCCCACTTGCCTCTCTGGAGGTTGACCGCCGAGGTGTGGCGCCGCCAGGTGGATGGAGGACGGATGGTGGTTCTGGTGCAGCCTGTGACCTCACAACCTTGCAGCTGAACTTCATGAAGGACCGCGAGGAGGTGATCCGAGGGGTGGTACCAATGTGCAGCTTGGGTCGGCGCGACCCCGACACCAAGCGGCCCTACTTGAAGAAGGTAGTGGTCGAGTCAAACTGCTCGCCTCTCATCCGCTACCTCCTCCGCGGCGCCTACTGCACGCACAAGGGCGAGGAGCATCAGCCGATCCGAGGTTTTTGTCGTGGAGATGGTGGCTGGGCTCGTCGCTCGGATATGGCAGCGAGGTGGCCGGATAAGTTCTGCAGCTGCCTCCTTCAGGCCGCCGAGCACGCACTGAAGCAGGTGAAGGAGGCGGGACCGTGGGCGGTGCACGAAGCAACTTGTGGACCTCAGTGGGAGACGACCTTGGCAGTGTCGAGCTCGACGGTGCCGGATGAAGGGCTATGCCAGGAGCTGCCCAAGTACTCCATGACAGGGGAAAGGTACGATTTCGTGTGTTTCGATGGCGCTGCGAACCAGCAACCGCGGCGACTACGTGCTCTCGTTGCCCATTTACATGTAGCGCTCGGCCACTTATCCAACGAGCGGCTGGGACGCACGCTGAGCCTGAGTGGAGCAAGCGAGGCCGCGGTGAGCTTGGCGTCGAGTCTAAGATGCCAGGTGTGCGCCGCGACGAGGCCGCCGCAGAACACCCCCCAAGTGGCTTACCACAATTCAATGAAAGAGTATCCGGAGATACGTCTTTCATTTGGGATGCTGAAGGTGTCAACTTCGCGGTCACGCACTACTTGGACGCCCTCACCGACTACCACGTGGCTGACCTCACTGACAGGCCAGACTCCGCCTTCAGCCGGGAGGTGTTTCAGGACTTGTGGCTTGCGGTGTTTGGACCCCCTGACACCTTGGTTACAGATGGAGGGCCGGATTTCCAGGGGTCGGTGGGCGTGATGCTGGAGCTCCTGGGCATCGTTCAGGAAGTGGTGCCCGAGGGTGCCAAGTGGCGACTTGGCCAGGCCGAGCGGCACGGTGCCGTGTTGAAGTTGATGATGATGAAGATGGTGAAGGGCATGGGCCTTCGCGGGCTCACAAGGACATGAGGCACGCCTTATTGGCGGCTGTGTCGGCGAAGAACCGGACCTTGAACCGAGGCGGGGTGTCACCGATGCAAGCCGTCACCGGGAGGAACACGATGATCCCCGGCAGCCTCCTCCAGCAGCTTGCGAGCGGCCAGGTCAAGTTCAAGTATAACGAGGCGGTGGGCCACAGCGAGGCGATCGCCCGAGCCGAGCGCATCCGCATTGGGGCTGGAGGCTTTTCATTGGCTGGACTCGCACGACGCCTTGAGGCGCGCCTTGTCTTCGAAGTCCAGGCCCCTTAGCTCGAGGGCATTTGCGAGGGAGCCATCGTCTACGTCTATGAGCCCCCAGCCTCGAGAAAGGGCCTGGCGAGGCGGATGCAGGACAATAGCAGCTGGAGTGGCCCAGGTGTCATTGAGCGAGACCGCCCGGTGCCGCAGAGGGTCTGGGTTCGGATCAGGGGCCGTGTGAAGGCCTTTCCGTTGGAGAAGTTGAGGCTAGCCACGGTGGATGAGATGGCCAGCTCTGAGTTCATTGCCCAGGCCGTGACGGACGTGGAGGAGGAGCTTCGCGGTGGGCAGCTTCGCGTGGGAGCTCCTGAGGAGGGGCAGCCCCAAGGCCGTGCCCTCACAAGGGCGGCGGAGGTGACTCTTCATCCTCGCCCCAGGAGACTGAAGACCCCGAGGCCAAAGCTACACGCGAAGACCGGGCCAAAGTTCTGGACGACCTTCCTCACCAAGTGGCACGCAACTTGGATGACAAGAGGAAGCGCGAAGCTGAGGCGGCCATGGACCCCCACACCCTCAATTTCCAGAAGAAGCAGAAGCTCTTTGAGTCCCTGGTGAAGCAGCTCGAGCCACCGACTCCCTTGGAGGAAGCCGGTTTGAGGCGACATGTTGAGGACACCTACTTGAAGTTCAAGGGCGTGCGGAAAGCCTTCAAGGCGAAGCCCAAGGGTGGCGGAGCCGCGGCGATGGTGGGCACGAGTCGAGGGCGGAATGCAGCCGGATGCGCACCGTGATGGAGGTGAGCGTGGAGGACCTCGCGCCCGGCATGTTCAAACCAGCCTTGTGAACGACACCCTGGGGCAATGGTCTCTTTGGGGAGAGAGCGGGCCCTACGCCGAGCACGAGATCCTAGTGCAGGTGAGTCAGAAGGCCGCCGCTGCAGAGATGGACGGCCTCACCCAAGTGGTCACGGGGAAGGCCAGGTTCAAGTAGTACCGATGGTCGGATTCCGAGTGGAAGGAGGCCTACGTGGAGCCGCTGAAGAAAGCCGTGGGCGTCTACCTGGACCACGACGGCATCAAGGGCGTGGCTAAGGACCAGCTGGTGGATCCCTCAAGGATCCTTAGCTCGCGCTTTGTCCTTACGAACAAGGGCGGCCCGAGTTTGCCCGAAGCCGAGCTGCGAGCTCGATGGATATTCGGGGGGCACAAGGACCCGGATGCTGGACTCTACGCTACGGCTTCGCCTACGGCTAGCACCTTGGGGCACAACTTGCTAAACTTTGTGGCGGTGCAAAAGGGCTGGGTCGTGCATTATGAGGATGTGAGTTCGGCTTTCCTTCAGGGGAAGGCCCTTCCACGTGTTGAGAAAGTGTATGTGCGCGTTCCCCACGGCTACCCGCCAGAGGTGCTGGAGTACTTGACCAAGCGCTTGGGCGGCAATGTGCGCCCAGACCTTGTGGAGTTGACCAAGGCCGGTTTCGGTTTGCCTGAGAGCCCACGGCTATGGTACCTGGAGTACAAGGACACTAAGGACACCATCGAGGCGCTCGGGCTAAAGGAGTTGGCTTTGGTGCCAGGTCTTTTCCGGGCTTTCCACCCGGATGGTGCCCTACGTGCTATGGCCTCGATCCATGTGGATGACACCCGTTATGCTGGGGACAGCAGCAGCCAAGAATTCTGGGATCAGCTGCATGCCAAGCTAAAAACTTCTGTGGACGTTGGGAGCGACAGTGCCCCCAGACGATGGAGATGGAATACTCCATGACTGAGTACACCAAGGCGATCCCGCTGGCCAAGACGCGGGGCGAAAAGGCAGGGGACCAGCAGTCGCCTTCGTCGGCTACTACCACGACTTCCGGGGGCGTTTCAAAGGTGGACGGGGTGGCTTCAGCGTCTACTACCACGACTTCCGAGGGCGTTCCAGAGGTGGACGGGGTGGCTTCAGCATCTACTACCGCGACTTCCGAGGGCGTTTCAGAGGTGGATGGGGTGGCTTCAGGTCCATTGTCGTTAGACGCAGAAGTGATCTCCTTGCTGTCCGAGAAGGTCGTGGACCCGTCGGAGGCGTTGACTGAGGGCGAGCGCAAAGTCATCAGCTCCGTGGTGGGTCGTTTGAATTGGGCGGCACGGCAAGGCAGGTACGACTTGGCCTTTGTGTCCTCGAGCATCCAACAGTTGGCCGGGCATGGGGATCCTGCCGCGCTCAAGGTGTTGAACCAAGGGGTGAAGCGTGCACGCGAGGACGTGGTCATCCCGATCGGCAACCTGGGGTGCGACTTGGAGGACATCATCGTGGTGTCGGTGAGCGACGCGGCTTATGGTGCCATGCCAGGCGGACACAGTCAATCTGGGGTGCTGGTGCTCATGGCTTCGCCCAAGATCCTCACGGAGACAGCTCCCGTATGTGCCCTTGAAGGCTCCAGCAGCAAGATTCAACGGGTGGTGAGATGCTCGATGTCGGCGGAGGTCAGCTCCCTGGCGACCTGCTTCGAGCACGGCGACTTTGTGCGGGCGGTTTTCTGTGAGCTGATCGACGCCCGGTTCCAGTTGCGTCGATGGAAGCTTTCCGTGTCGCGATGGCCCCACTACCTGGTGACGGACGCCAAAACAGATTACGATGTGCTGAACAATGACACCCTTCCAACGGACAGGAAGGTGTGCATAGATGTGGCCGTCCTCAGGCAGGCGATCGTGGAGGACGACACCAGCTGTTTTGTGAGGTGGGTGCCTGGGGCGGAAATACCGTGCGACGGGCTCACGAAGTGGGCAGACAATCATGCACTACGGCGACTGCTTACTACCGGAACCTGGGCTCTTGTGGATAGCCCGGAGGCCCAAGAAATTCGAAGGCAAGCCGGAATCAAGCGCGCAGCTTGGAGGAAGGCTGCCAAGAAAATGTCGCAGACAAGCACGGCTCCAGAGGGGCTGTGACTGAAACCGAGCATTTTGCCGAAGCGACATGTCATGAGTTTTGCTGGCAGAAGCCGGAGACGCACCTACGGATGAGCCATTTGGGCTCCTTGTCCTGCAGGAGACAAACGGCCGGCTTGTGCGTAGGCCGGGGTTCAGTTGTTTTATTTGCCCGTGCCATATTCCGCTATAACCAATCAAAGGGGAAGGAAGGTACTCAAACCCGGCCGAACCCCTAAAGAACCAGGGCATCTACAAAGCCCTGTCGACTCTTTTTCCTTGAGCCAAATATAATCCGAACGCGGTCTCTGAAAGGAAGCTCT